GGGGCCACAGATCTTCCCCCCAAAGATGTGTAGGAGACGGAGGGAGCTCCAAGTCCCAGAGATCCAGGCGCTGCCCCAGAACACAGGAACCCCAAGGAGGCTGCAACCAGAAAGGTCCCTGCCCCCCTCGAGAGGCACAGAGGATCGCTCCGGGGGGCCACAACCAGCAGCCAGCAGAGTCCTGGGAGATATCAGCGTCAAGCCCACAGGCCCGCCTGCAGCCTCCCACCCCCTAGCCGGCCGAGCCGGGTACCCAGTGACCCGGGACCCAGGGGCCACCACCCCGCCGGGGACCCAGCAGAGCCCAGGGACCCAGACCCCACCAGGCAGCCACCGGGATTGATCAGGCAGACACCAAAATCTTAAACCCCCTGACCTGGGAGCCACGAACATTCAGACAAACCAAGGCACCGCACTCCACACCAGGTGTGGCAGGGGGAGGAGACGAAGATCTATATCTTCAAAAGAAGTCCCAGAAAAGGGGAGGAGTCAAAGGCCCCACCTGACATATACAGTCATACACAAACACAGTCATACACTCCCTCCCTCATGCTCACACATACTCACACATACACATACAACCAAAGACTTACAAAAATGCACGCTGGACACCCACTCATGCTCCCCATACACACCCTATTCACTCTGGTCTCGGTAATGTTGCACATGGGGTACAACCATTACCGGTTCCCAGAGTTAGCCCCTTTCTGCTGGGGTGCTGATGAGCAGGCTCCCCCGCCCAACGCTAAGCACAGCAGCCCAACACCCCAGACCCCAACCGGACAGCCGGATCTCCCTCCTAGCCTCCAGCCCCAGGAAGCCAAATGACAACAGAGGTGTGCTAAGACCCCTAGTCTCCCTCCGCCTGCTCCAATATAGTGTTAGTGTGTGTTGATGAGGTGTATTCCATGGCTGCGGTGAGCAGGCAGTGCGGGTATTGTCTGGCCTATGCCAGCTAAAGCCACCACACCACCCCACTTGCACCCACAGTCCTCGGTGTCTAAGTGCAGTTTAAAATTGGAAGTGGGCACCGGCACTTGGGAGGAGGCTGAGAAATCCCCCTGCCAATTGCTGTTGAATGTGCTCACTCCCAAGGCCCTAAGTGTGTGTTTGCGTGTAATGTCGTTGGTGGAAGTGTTTACGGTGCAAATAATGCGTAAATGGGGTCCATACACGCATTCCCCGACTTGTTCACCCCCCAAGGTCCCATGTGCATGTTTGTGTGATGATGTGAGGAAGCAGGAGGAGAAAAATATGTGGGGATAGAGAGGAATGGCTGGTTGGGCTTGGCCCTCCAGGGAGCCAGCTCCCCCATTGGCCCCAATAGGCACCTCTGTTGTCAAAATGCCACCCAGGGCATGGAGACCCCAGACCATCTTGCCATGGCCCAAAGCAGCAGCATTGCAGAGCCTCACGGAGTCCGAGGGCACCAAACCAGCCCCACCCCAGCAGAATATCTACACCCATCCCTGTATTTGCACAACTTCCAGAGTATATAAGACATAGGACATCCAGGTAAGGTTGGGTCCTACCCCTCCTGGACCTCCCCCTCCCCTGTGATGGGACAGCAGAGGAGCCAAGGTCTTCCCGAGGCCCCTGAACTCGGGCCAGGCACTGCTGCATGTTCCTGCCTTCTTCCCAGCAACATACATGTCTGGACCCGACCCCCAAGGCCCCGCCCAGATCCCCACACGGGGCCGGCCACCCCGACACCCCAAGGCCCCAGGCCCCGACCCAGACCCGCCCAGGGGCAATGCAGCTGCCAGGCAGCGACCCATGGCCGCCGCCAAGACCTCCAAGGGACCCCACTCACAACCGCCAGCATTCCACCCCCCGAGGCAACCCAAGCAGCTCCAGAGGGGGGCAACAGCCCCCCAGTCCCAGACACCCCCAGTGAACCCACCTCCAGGGAACGTCCGGATACTCCAAACTCAGACCCTCCACTCCCTCACCCACATCATCCCGCAGGACAATATTAATGGTCCCCCATTATCGCTGTGTGATGGAACTGATCAAAGGAGCCCATAGAGATTGATTTGAAGTGGAAGCAGAGGCTATATCAAGTGCAATTGGATCTAACAAAAGATTTCTGTACTGGTTAATGCAGAGAGTATCTCTATTTTTCCAATTCAACAGGATAGTTTTCTTAGAAATGCATATGAACAAGTTTGGGACAAGAACATCTGGTCATAGCTGACTGATAGATCCACCTCCCATTTTTCAATAGGGATTGCTATTCTATCGTCTATTTTGGACAGTGTCTTATATACTTTAGACAGTAGTTTTTTTTTTGGGGGGGGGGGGGGGGTGAGATTATAGAAGTCTAATACCCTTGGTGGTGTTTATAATTCTATTTTATTGAGCTTAAATTTTTGTTTGACTACAGATTTAATTTGGTGACATTCTAAAAAGCTATTCTCATCTATTCCAAACTGGTAGCCTATTCTATTAAATGGGATGAAGTCCAGTCCTTCATATGTGTGTTCCAGGTATAGGATTCCTTTATGTTTCCAGTCCGGAAGGTTCATCGTTTTGTGATTTAGCAAAATATCAGGATTATTCCGGATAGGTGTGCGTCTGCATGGTATTAGTGAAGACACTGTCATTTTTAGATACTCCCACCATGCTGTCAGAGGTGCTGATACTAATACTTTTGAAGCCTTCATGTTTTCTCATGCTTGAGCTAATAAATGGTAAGTCTGAAAGCTCTATCATATTGCAAAGTGTCTGTTCTATGTCTAACCAGAACTCATCTAGTGGGTTATCTTGCAACCATCTTGGTATATATTGCAGCCTATTGGCTAAGAAATAATAATAAAAGTTGGGTAGATCCAGTTCTCCTCTATCTTTGGTCTTCTGAAATGTTTTTAAGTTAATTCGTGGAGGTTTATCCTGCCAAAGGAATTTAGTGATTGAGGAGTCCAGAGATCTAAACCAGTCAGCTGGTGGTTTGTTTGGGATCATTGAAAATAAGTAATTTATTCTGGGTAAGACCATCATTTTAATTGTAGCAACCCTCCACATGAGTGATATCAGTAAGGAATTCCATCTCGCAAGATCATCTTCCACTTTCCTTAAAAGTGGGATGTAGTTTAGTTTGGTTAGATCTGCCAACTTGGGAGAGACATTAATTCCCAGGTATGTGACATTCCCTGTCTCCAATTGTGTATTAAGCAAATTGACAAAAGAGAAATTAATTGGTAGAACTGTGGATTTTAACCAGTTTATAGAGTAATCTGAAACTCTTGAAAAATAGTTCATCAGTTCTATTGCTTGGGAGAGAGAGGATTGAGAATTCTGGAGAAAGAGTAAAACATCATCTGCATAAAGACTGACACACCTGAGCATGCGCTGACGGCCGAACACCGGACACACGGCAGTGTTTGAAACAGATGGCAGCTCGTTAACCAACTTCCACAAACAATTAAGACGCATTTTCGCCTAATTTATTCACTGACAACAGAAAAATAAATAAATAAATAAATAAATAAATTAATTAATTAATCCGGTATATATAACACACTCAACCTGGAGGTAAGTGGAGAAATTTTAGAAAATTTGCAAACATATTTTGACGAAGTTTTTGAGGTTTTGTCATGGGACTGTGGGAGAGAGTTCCAGAGTCTGGGGGCCACAGCAGCAAATGATCTGTCACCTTTGACCTTTTGCCTTATGCTGCACAACCAGTCGCCTTTGGTCACTGGACCTAAGGGACCTGCTGGGGGTGTAGGGACTAAGAAGATCACCAATGTAAGATGGTGCTTGTCCATGTAAGGCCCTATAGACCAGAACCAGGATCTTGAAATGAACCCTGAAGTTGACTGGCAGCCAGTGAAGCTGGAGGAGAAGCGGGGTGATGTGGGTTTGTTTGGAGGACTTGGTCAGAAGCCGAGCACAGGCATTCTGAACCACCTGTAGACGGTTCAGGGAGGTTGTACTCAGACACGTGAAAAGAGAGTTACAGTAGTCTAAGCGTGAGGAGATGAAGGTGTGGAGAACTGTCTGAAGTTCAGAGTGGGACAGAATGGGACTCAGCTTAGCAATGTTCCTGAGATGGAAAAAGGAAGAGCGAACAAGAGAACTGACATGAGAATCCAGGGTGAGAGCTGGGTCAAAGGTCATGCCAAGACTCCTGACAGAGAGTTTGGTGTGAGAAGCAAGCTGACCAAGAGAGTCTCTGACTTTGGGAACCAGCTTGTCTGGGGCACAGATGAGGATCTCAGTCTTATCTTCACTGAGCTGTAGAACGCTCCCAGCCATCCATGTTTTAATAGAGTCTAAGCAGGTGTGTAACAGCTGCAGCTTAGACATCTCATGGGGCTTAAAGGAGATGTACAGTTGGATGTCATCTGCATAAAGATGGTAGGAGTAATTATATGTAATTATATTTATAGTTTAATTATCATGCTCTAACATATGTCTGATTTTGCAAAGAAGCAGATTAAAATGTGATTTTTGTAAAGTTGGGTAAAAAAAATTCTCAATAGAAAAAATGCACTGGGGGCAAACAGAGACCCATCAAAGATGGGTGCTGGCCACTGGGGTCCACGGGGCATCTACATATATGATGTCTGTGATGCAGACTGCTGGAGGTGCTTCTTATTCTGGGGAGACTCCAGCAGGCTGTATGCAGGCTACAGTACCCAGCTGCATCCTCTCTGGTGGACTTCGGTACTGCATGTCAGAAAACATCTGGGGCTTGAACCCAGGTAGCTATCCTCTAACCCCTGCCCCTGGTGTCTTTGTGTATGATGTCTGTACCTGTAATAAAGTTCCTGTGGATAAACTAACACCTGCTCTGCTCTTTACCTACAACTAAACTTTACAAGAAAATAAACAGGGGGCTTTATTTGACAATTTTGGCTTCATTCTAAACTTTTTAGGGAAAGAAACTAAACACTAATGTTAGTGTTTGCTATTTGAAAAAGCATCTCATCCAACTGTTACTGGTATCCTCTCATCAGTGTCTCATGGTTCAATAAACACCCAAAATGGCTCACCGTAGTTGTAGTTGTTCTTCAGGTAGGTTTTTTGCCCCATTCTGACCGTCTTACATCTGCAAGGATCTACATAAACACAAAAATTGTGAACTTTACAAAAACAATACTAAGGAAACATTGTTCAGTTCCTTTATTATCACCTCTGTGTTTTTGGATCCTGGTGGATGTCACACCTGTCCTGTCTCCCCACTCTGTTCAATCCTGTGTCTCCTGATTACTCCCACCTGCCTCTTGTTTTCCCCACCACCCAAGCTCCCAGCTCCTCACGTATTTAAACCCTCTCAGTTCTGTGTGTCTTGTCGGTTCATTATTTCATTGTTCTGCGTGTTCCTTATTAAATCCTCGTTTTAAATGTTCCTGTCTGCCTGCCTGCCTGCCTGCTTGCTTCTTCCCCTGCAATTGGATCCTCACCTCCGCTCACAACACCCGCATGTCATAACAGGAGATGTGTGTAACGCATAATATTAGCCAGCGAGCCGTTTCGCCATCATTTAGACGGCCGAATTTTAAAAAATGATGGCCTAAGTAACAAAGTATGGCTTCTAAATTTGATGGCAAGCTGTCCTGTTTTCTGTAAAATCTAATCTTGAAGAAGCAATGTGTTGCAGTAAAATAAAAATCTGATTGTTGCACAACTCTTTCAGCAAATGTGTTCAAGTCTGTACTACTGGAAATATGCAGATTAATTGCGGTCATTACCCCAGCTCAGATTACCGTTACTGTCATCTTTGAAAGCAGCAGCTAAAGCTGGAGAGGTGGCTGCAGATGTGATTGTAAAGAAGACGAGGTGATGTCGGTTAGACAGACCTCGTCTGGGTTTGAGTCTGATGTTGAGCAGAAAACCATTCTGTGTAACAAAGTCCTATCTGCATTAATAGCTCCTTAATGCAAAAGACCTTAAATGTTGTTCATGTTTTAACACACAATGAAATCATTCTTCCGAACTTTGTGGACATCTCCTGTGATTTAGTTTTAACAAATCTCCCTCAACTGTTTCAGCCGACTCTCATGTTTAGTGATAAAACACGAGTCTGAAAGCTCTCTCTCTCTCTCTCTCTCTCGCTCACTCCGAGCTGCACTCATGGATCAGCATTTCACACAAACCCTGAAGAATGTTTAATGCCTCTGCCTGTGAGTTACCAGACTCTTCTCTGTGCAAAATTAGACAGAGGATGAGTCTGGCGGGCCAGGCGACCGGCATGAAGCATCTCAGGAAAAATACCCGAGGAGCGAGGTGAGCGTTCTATGAAACTAGCTTGTTTTGTAGATTCGCCAGAACAGCTTTAAAGGGGCATTATGGAAGTTTGACAGCCAAAACATATATAGAAATAATAAATTTCTTCTTCATACATTCTCCTGCAATGCCCTGGTCCTGTAGAAAGAGCCCTGGCATTTTTACTGTGATTGCCTGTTTTTCTGTAAAATCACGGAAACAGAGATATGCTCGGGTCGAGCAGGCTGCTTCATGCGCGTTCACGCTCAGGCATAGCCCGTAACATTTGCTATCCGTAGCTTTAGCAGCAGAGAGAGAGAGGTAGTGGCACTTTGTCGCTGTTCCTAACGCCTAGTGACAACACTAGCTACATTTCTGAGGACCCTTAGCTACTTTCTGTAGAACTTTCTTCTAGATATTTCCTGCAAATTAGCAACAAAATTGCCATTTTCACTCCAGAACGTTCTTTGAACGCAAGGGCGTCAGTTTGTTTTCAGAATTGCTGGGGACAATAACCATACACTTGAGTGGGGTTTAAAATTTGCTGGGGACAATAAAGTAGGCTAGCACAGGGGTCGGCACCCCGCGGCTCTGGAGCTGCATGCGGCTCTTCCATCCATCTGATGCGGCTCTCTGCTTGTAAAATAATGAATGGATATTTAAATAAAATGCTTTATATTTTACTGCATTAATTTTACATCTGTATGCCAATTCTAAATGTAAAGATTGTCTGCGTAAACCTGAACAGGTCCAACCCGGTCTTACTGTGAGACCGGGTTGGCGCGTCACGCTTGTGCGTAATCATATGCGCTTTATTAGCTGAAGACGATGTGAGATTCTGGGATTCTCCTCAGACGGCTCCTGGATGTGTCGCCACATTGGAGACAGGAACAAGCACTATTCAGCCAAAGTTTCATAATCAGGGAACATTTTCTAAGTGACAAGTATCTCTGAGAGACAGGGTTTGGAAAACACTCGCTTCAGTGGGAGGAACCTTCCACATGCGCTCTGGTTCTCTGGGGTTAATCAAGTTTAATTGTTTCTCTTTGCAACAATCTTCACAGGAAGGCAAAACAGTTAAACGGCAGGTTACAGATATTTCCATTTGACTGTTTATTTTGACAGATGAACTCAAGGATGTTGCTTGGTTTGAAAGAATTACCCCGACGCACACTGATGCACATGGATGAGCTGACATTTTAATCATTAATGCACATCGCGGAGGTAAAATATTCCCATCAGAACATCAGAGCTTTATACTGGACACTGTGTTCAGCGCGGCTCGGAGCGCCCACGGTGGACAGTGAGCTGAAGATCTGGGGTTCGCAGCGCAGTGCAGAACGGCGGATGCGATAAGATTTCCTCCCACTGAAGCGGTCTGGAAACCCGGTCTCTCTGAGGTATGTGTCACTTGGAAACATGTTCTTTTTATGAAATTATGAAACTTTGGCTGAACAGCGCTTGTTCCCGTCTCTAATATGGAGACGCATGATGCGTAGAGACATTTGATCACGCACAAAGTTCATGTGGAGCAGAAGCGGTCGGGCCACGGCAGGTGAAAGGTTTCTAGCCTACATGAAGTGGAACTGTTTAATTGTAACATTAATGTGTTACTGGACACGCTGGTCTGGTTGGTTAGACCAGTGTTTGAAGTGGAAAACACACACACACACACACACACACACACACACACACACACACACACACACACACACCAATTAAAATATATGCTGATAGCATGGACTAGAAGACAGGTGATGGGTTACGTATTTAAATGATGATCAGGCTGCTGTAAAATGTAATCTCCATCCACATCCAGACACAATTATCCTCTATTCTTTCTCTATTTGCTCTGCTCTTGTCTGGGCCGATCAGCTGATGGTGCGCGCGACGCGCCTAACTAGCGGCTGATGCACATTTTACGCATTTGGAGAGGTGGGCTGGATGCTTTGCGTTTACTGGAAGATGGTCCACTTAACGCACGGGTGTAGACTAAATATTAATGACAAATGAATGTAAATTAAATTGTGAGTTTTTACTTCATATTTTATAAATAAAAAGGACGGGGGAAAACATTTATGACGTCTTTTTAAACGAAATTTTCTAGCGCGACCTGCCTGCTTCACTTAAGTCACTGCTTATTAAGGTCCGTCCAAAATTACTGTGGGAAACGGGTAATAATGGCTCTTTGATGGGAATAGGTTGCCCACCCCTGGTATAAGATCTGAGCTGGTAAAACAAAAATCCTCATCAGCAGGCGTTTTTGAAAGTGGGGGGGACACAGCTGCCAATCACAAATTTTGCCGGGGACATGTCCCCGGCGTCCCCGGTTAAAATGACGCCTATGTTTGAACGTTGTTTCAGCTGTCATCAAGGATATAAATGTTACAGATACAAAGGACATCACTGGTGCTTTAGTTCACCTTGTAAGACATCGGACTGCCATGCAGAAGACCTGGGTTTGATTCTAGATGTGAATATAGTTGATTTAGAGTTTCTTTTTTACATTAATGGTATATTTTTTTTACAGTAAGATGCCCAAATTTTTATTTGAGACTTGCCGAACGGCATTCAATTCACAGATAAAAAAGATGTGGCTTCAACTTTCGTTTTGGAACAATTTTTCAAGCAAGGGAAGGGAATGATCTGAGCATGCAGGAGGACTGACCCATCATAAACCTTTGTCGGCTGTGCTGAAGAGAAAGGTACAGAACCTAATTATTTAATTAATTATCTGCGTGTTCTCCTGTCCTCTGTCCTCCGGGCCGCACACACACACACACACACACACACACACACACACACACACACACACACACACACACACACACACACACTGGACTGTCTCAGCTGTTATTTTTGTTAAGGAGTGTGCACATACAGCATGCGCGCCTCATGCACGAGCCTACTATTGAAGCTGCCGTTACGCTTTTGGCCTGAGGGGCAATCGCGAGCATAAAAATTCAAAACTCTGTAAAGTCCCTTTAAGAGTGTTTAACAAAAACAGCCATGAACTGCCTCTGATCTGGTTCTGAAAGGGTTCAGGGGGATATTCATCTGTTCCTCTAATGCCACGACCTTTCCTGGTGGAGAAGCCTGAACTGGATCATCAAAGTGGTAAAAATAGACATCTCACCTGGTCCCCTGCAGTGGAAGTTGTTGGAGTCCATTGGAAAGTCTGGACTGGATTCTGCAATGGAATAAAATCCAGAGAACCAAACAACAGGTTTATCAGTTGTTGTGTATGCACCTTTGTTCAGCAATAAACCTTTCATTATTTAATATTAGCAGTTTTTCATCAACTTATATCATTTGTGTTATTTTACCTAATAAAAATCTGTTAAACAACGTTTCCCTGCTTGATGTTCTTTTATTTTCATAGTCATGCTTTTTCCAGAATGTCTTCCTCTCAATCAATAAAACGGTGTGACATTTAACTGACCAGCTGATTCATTTCACTATCTTCTGCTTTGCAATTTTGATAGGCCCAAACCATGAAGACTGTTCTTATTATCATAGGTGGAAATCTCAGGGGGGGCATGTCCCCCCTTGCATAAAGTTGCCCCCCCCCCCCCCCCCCCAAAATGTTGGGCATATGAACATATATAACAGTTATATAGTATTGTCCAACAAAAGCTTAGCACAACCGATAAAGACAATGTGTTTTTAATCATTCAAAGATCATGACCCCCCTCCACTATTTCTCAAATTGGTACGGTCCACAAGCTGTTTCAATCGGGCGGGGTTGCCGCCATTATTGCTCTTGGAGGCGTATTGTAGGATGTCCAACGAAGATACCTCCTTTCTCACTTCCTATTCGCTAGAAGGGCTCTACTACTATTGGCCATTTCGTTATCCCTGCCAAGTGCCGACTCTCGTCCTGGCACCAGCAGAAAGCTGTTTTGGGGAGTTTTGCAAAGGAATTGTGAACTTAGTGCTATTATAACAATTCTGTCCTGTTTTGCAAAACGGTTTCTTATTTTTCTTTAATTAAAAAAACATAAAATGTGAACTTAGAATACATCTTGTTGCAGTTATCACACTGTTGGACTTACTTTATATCTGTTGGCCCTCAAGCATTGAGGTTATCCTATTAAAGCCGAGTATAAAGGTTAAAGATGTGTGCCTTACCTGGGTATGAAATATAACAAAACTGCACTATTTTGCCCAGCTGTGTGCAGCAGGTCTGTTTCTCTTCAAGAATAATGAAAACATGTGAAAAATAGCTCTAAATCATTATCAGATTTGAAGTCAAATTTGATTAAATGATACACATTTAATCAGATGATGAGAGAAGTGTTACGATAACCCCATTAGAGCCAACAGTTAAAACGTCAGTCTAACAGTATGATGAATGCAAGAATATTTATTCCAAGGTCACTTTTGATGTTTTTCAGTTTCTCTTATAAAAGAACCTGAAATGTTTTTTTCATGCCCCCCAAAATCATTACTCTCTGAAACATTACAGTCCCCCCCCCCCCCCACCCACCCACCCACACACACACAAACACACAAACACACACACACACAAAGACAAAGGAAACAGGATTTCCGCCCCTGGTTATTATATTGGAAGTTTGTCTTCTATGAAAGAACTATTTAGTGCACCAGAGACTTATGCTGAACCATTGCTGTTCACCTCTGTTTTGTAGGAAATGAGTCAACTGGTCTGGACTTTAACTTTTACATAATTTTTAATAACTATTCCTTGGCACCAAAATTCTAAATCAACTTCTAATTTTCCTTTTTTGATTTTCAGTTTTAAAAAATGTATAAGAAGTCTTTTCATTGTCTTTAATTTCTGTGGGTAATCTAGCAGGAACGGTTCTATTTGATCTTATGTGCTTAATAAAGTCTCACCTGGATTACATCTGGAAGGGTCCTGGTTGTAAGAGTCTGTAGAGACAGAGACAGTCATTACTAATGGAAACAAACCTTTTATTCATAAACCTACTCAGACTTAAGACAGCACTGATGGGCAGATTAATCATCACTCACAAGACTGGAGGCCTCACTTACAGGCCTTTTACAATAGCACTACTTAGTGTGACTTGGCTGCCTTTTCCTCCTGCATGGTTGGGTTTTTTCCCACTACTTTCCCTCTGCCATAACATACCACACCAATCTCTTTATTTGTATAGCACTTAAAACAACAGCAGGACTAAAGTGCTTTACACAGAGCAAATAAAATAAAGGAAGGAGGTGATGCCGCTGTTAGCAGCTAGCTCTGAAGAAGACGGCAGGAGTGGTCGAAACTGTCAGCAAAAAAGGTAAAACAACCCTTTCCTGTGTTAAAAAAAGAACCAAATGATGCAATCAGAAGAAACATACAGAATGAATACACAAAAGAGGTTATTGAGTTTGTTAAGCTTTTAACTTTAGAAGTGGAGAGGCTTAAATCAGTGTCTCTCAACACTGAGGAGTTCTCTTGTCACTTTGACTTCATCTGCAGGAACATTTGGGATATGGTTGCCGCCATAAGGTCAGGAAACCCATGCTAGGAAGGGAACCTTAGCTCTCTAATACCACTCTGGTATGCATGCAGGAATGTAGATCTACTGAAAGACAGTGGAAGGAGGATTGTCTGCAGGTTTCCCGCATCCTTTCCAGAAAATCTTTGGCTGCATACCAGAAGGCTAGGGTAGCATATTTTGTGACAATATTTCAACAAACCTACACAATCTAAAATTTATCTTCTGTACTCTAAATTCTTTGTAGGAATTTCAAGAGCCTGGCTTAGTTTTTTTATCGATAAAATATCAACCATTAGATTGTCAATGTTAGGCTCTTTTCCGGAATCTGTGTTACTGGCCATGCCTTCCACTTCACTGAACGCTGTTAACCCGATCTCTTTGGTTGAGTTGGGTAGGTTGGTCTCCCTGGAAAGTCCAGCTGGTTCTTTTGATGTCTTGCTCCTTCTAAATTATTGGAAAAGGTTGTTTATCAGCATGTACTCTCGTTTTTAGATGATTCTGAAATGTTTGAGACGTTTCAGTCTGGATATAGGGCTGGACATAGCACTGAGTCTGCACTGTTGATGGTGATGAATTAGATTTTTGTAGCTATGGATCAGGGTGCAGCTGTGATACTGCTGTTATTGGACTTAAAAGCAGCTTTTGAAACGGTTGACCACGACATTCTGTTGGATCGCCAGGAACGATCAGTGGGGATTTCGGGGTTGGCTCTTGAATCCAGCCGTCATACCTCCAGGGAAGGAGGTTTTGTGTTATTGTAGACAACGCTGTGTCCTCTTGGGAATGCCTGCAGTGAGGGGTGGGGGGTACCACAGAGTTCAGTCCTTGGCCCACTTCTTTTTGCTCTTTATTTACTCCCATTGGGAATGATGCTATGAAAGCATGGTGTTAAATTTAATCTGTATGCAGATGACTGCCAGATTTATTTTCCCCTGTGTCCGGGAGGCAGGATGTTCCATTTCCAAGCTCCTGACTTGTGTGGAGAAGGTTTATTTCTGCCTTGCAGCTAACTACCTTCATGCTAATGAGAGCAAAACAGAGCTTAATACATTCCACCCTACTTGCAAAGGGGGCATGAGCTTTGCTCAAGGCATTTGGGGGCCCCAAGCAAGATGACATTTGGGATTCCTCCTCTGTCAAAATGAACCTTGAAACCCCCTCAGGATCGGGGGAGAGAGGTCCAGAGTCTGGGGGCCACAGCAGCAGATGATCTGTCACCTTTGACCTTTAGCCTGGTGCTGCACAACCAGTAGGCTTTGATCACTGGACCTCAGCGACCTGCTGGGGGTGTAGGGACTGAGAAGATCACCAATGTATGATGGTGTTTGACCATGTAAGGCCCTATAGACCAGAACCAGGATCTTGAAATGAACCCTGAAGTTGACTGGCAGCCAGTGAAGCTGGAGGAGAAGCGCGGTGATGTGGGTGTGTTTGGAGGACTTGGTCAGAAGCCGAGCACAGGCATTCTGAACCACCTGTAGACGGTTCAGGGAGGTTCTGCTCAGACACGTGAAAAGAGAGTTACAGTAGTCTAAGCGTGAGGAGATGAAGGTGTGGAGAACTGTCTCAAGTTCAGAGTGGGACAGAATGGGACTCAGCTTAGCAATGTTCCTGAGATGGAAGAAGGAAGAACGAACAAGAGAACTGACATGAGAATCCAGGGTGAGAGCTGGGTCAAAGGTCATGCCAAGATTCCTGACGGAAGGTTTGGTGTGGGAAGCAAGCTGACCAAGACAGTCTCTGACTTTGGGAACCAGCTTGTCTGGGGCACAGATGAGGATCTCAGTCTTATCTTCTTTCAGCTGAAGAAAGCTCCCAGCCATCCAGGTTTTGATAGAGTCTAAGCAGGTGTGTAACAGCTGCAGCTTAGACATCTCATGGGGCTTAAAGGAGATGTACAGTTGGATGTCATCTGGTAAGAGATTCCTTTGAAGGAGCTCAGGATCTGCTGAAGAGGAAGAAGATAGAGGAGGAGGAGCAGAGGCCCCAGCACAGAACCTTGTGGGACACCATGGGTAAGGGAGATGGTGGAGGACCTAAACTTGGAGATGGCCACAGAGAAGGAGCGCTCATAAAGATAAAAGGAGAACCACTCCAGAGCAGTTCCTGATAGGTCTACCCAGTCTCTCAGCCTATCGAGCAGTAGGTGATGGTCCACAGTAGAGGGCTGCATTGGGATTGGGTCCTGCAAGACCCAAAACAAATCTTGCGGAAGCGGGTGGTGTGAATTTTGCTGCGGGTGGGAACGGTAGGCTAAAAGAAACAATGTGGGATTGGGATGAGCATGATGGAGTTGGCAACTGTTGTTGAAAAGAAGCTGAAACAAGGTCCTTATGACACAAAAACCAAGCAAGGCAAGTCAGACATTTGGAGGAGTTTCTCGATTGTTTGTGACAAAGCTGGAAATGAACTGAACTTTGTCAGTTGTGACAAATGTGCAAAAATACTAATCTACAATGGACACAAATCCGGCACCTCTGGGTTGAGGCGGCACACCTGCTCTGTTCTCCCCGGTCAAAGTAAGCTGCTTTTCAAGGATAAACCACTTTTCCCTGCACACATTAAATAAAAAAAACTATTGAGAACTGTGTGGAAGTGTGCTGCGCAGACATACGGCCACATGATTTCGTTGCCGGGAAAGGTTTGCGCCAAACAGCGAGGCCAAGTCCGGCTCCAGTGGAGGAACGGATGTCCAGCCTTGGTCGGAGAAGCCCTCGACTTTGGTAATGGGCGCATATGTGGAAATTGGCGCCTTGAGCTTAGCAGGTTCGGAGAAGGCGGCGGACCAGCAGCTCATGGCAGCAGGGAAGTGCGGCCAGATGGGGTCTGGACAGTGCGTTTGTGTTGCCCCGAAAATTCCCGCCAAATCATCTGCTTCAGGCGGAGCCGGTTCTGGCACGGCTAGCCCCTTGCGGTCCGCAGCTGCGGAGATGAAGGCAGGTAGCTCCTGGAGCAGTGCTCTAATTGCTGGCAGGGAGGAGCGAGAAGTCACTGGAGCGGAAGGACCCACAGAGGGAGGCTCGTTGACCTCCGTGTTGTCCAGGAGGGAAGAAAGGCTATGGCAGCCAGCCTCGTCATACTCCTCACTGTCCATGACATCGTCCAGTTGGTTGGAGCTAGCCGGCTCCTGGCCGACATTGAAGAACTGTAAGGCCTTGTCCAGCGAGTACGTGTCAGCCACTGGAAATTCCTCGGCGGGGGTGAAGTACTTGACCCGGCGGATCTTTTCAACCACGGGCAGAGCGGCACAAAACGGGCACGAGGCCTGGGGGTCAAGGCCAGGCCAGCGTGATGAGCCCCGAGACAGACCTCACACTTGGCGTGCAGGTCCCCGCTGGAGATAAAACCATTCTGGCAGGCCGGGCAGGTCCTGGCGTCGCTGGACATGGTAGGTGAGTAGAATGCTTCTTGGATAATTGGTCTTTAAAGGAATCTCTTGAGCTTGGCTTGAAGAGATAACGGAGGCGAACAGTGGAGTCGCTCCACTTATATACCCACAGGGGTGCCCACCATTGGTGGGCGTACATTTAAGCTCTTCATGATTGGCTGATGCTGAGATCATCCTTCCAATAGCAGCTAGCTTAAGGGCTAAGACTAGACGAAATAGAACTAGCACATATCCATTGGTTTACATGGTGAGGTTTATTTGCTAGTAGCTGTTCAGTTGAACATTTGAAGGGGCTTTAAGTATTTACCCCCAACAAATTTACTTGCGTTGCTCGAGAAGGGGATTCACTGTTTGTGGTTGTACAAACAACGGGAGAAAATAAAATGACAAATTACGGGGACAAACCCCCAAAGAAGAGAAGCGTGGGTAGTTTGACGATTTGACAACCGTCTCACAAGAACAACAGGAATGATTTCGTATGTATAAATTTCTGAATAGTTAGAATGTAACATACGTTTAGACTGCCGTTGTTAACCTAAAAGTTCCAACCTGCAGTTTGATGGGGAAACTAAAACTAAAACCCAGGCTAGAGGGATTTAACACTCTGACTCAGCTCTACATCTGCTTTTAATTAAATAAAACTGAATCCCATCTTTTTCAACAAAACACAACCAACTTTGTCAGCATGTTGGTATCTATGAGCCTCAAAACTATAAAATTGTTTTTTGCCTCGTCGTAGCTACGTAGCTAAACTGCTACTGTATGTTAGCGGTGGTTAGATTTTAAGACCACCTCCTCACCCCTTCTGGTGCAGTAGGCAGAAGGAGTGCAATGGTGTTCCGTTTGAGCTACAGCTGGTGTTTACGCATTTTCCGTTTCTAAAAGCCCAAAAAATGAGGAGTTGTGCGAATACATCATATCGTCCAAATGTTAACAGACGCAAAGCATAATGGGCCATAAGAATAACATGGACAGGTCTGATAATTACGTTGTGTACGTTTTTGTGGGGTTGGTTTTTTTTTTTTTTGTGGCTG